ATGTGTGTGTGTGTGTGTGTGTGTGTGTGTGTGTGTGTGTGTGTGTGTCCTGCCTGTCTTTGTGATGGAGACTGTTTCTTTTTTCAGGGAGTCAGCAGTCTCAGGATCAGACGAGTCGCAGAAGTGGAAACACCGGAGAGAAGCACAGTGAGAACGGGGTGAGACTTCATTAGTATTATCTAAATTATGTTAAAATAGAAAATGTACTTTTACGGAACAAACCAGGTCCACAGGCCGTCGTGAGATCCCTCAGCCTAGCTGCACTATCATATATAACCAGAGAGACAAAAAAATATGAATAGATTACTAAAACCAAAATATTAAATTCTACCCCCCCTTAAGGACTGTACAGTGAGTATCTGTGGATCCGTGATTCTGATTTGTACGCCAGTGTTTGAGGGTAACATCACAGACACTAGTGATACAGACATGCTCCGTGTCTTCCCCGTCAGGTGTCCCCGTTGTTGTGCATGTTGAGCTCTACAGCTTTAGGATGTGTTCTAGAAAATATGAAAGACTCTGATAAGAGCAGCCTCTGGCATCCTTTCTCTCTCTCTCTCCGACCATCTGTCCCAGATTTCACAAAAGCAAAGTGTTGCGGTCAAGGAATCGTAACTAATTCAACCTTCAGGGTGGAGGGAAGAATCCAGCGCAGCAGGAAGTGGAGGGGTTGTTGTGTATATATATGTGTGTATGTGTATATATATATATATGTATGTGTGTGTATATATATACACACAGAGTTGTGTGAAAAAGTGTTTGCCCCCTTCCTGATTTCTTATTTTTTTGCATGTTTGTCACACTTAAATGTTTCAGATCATCAAACAAATTTAAATATTAGACAAAGATAACACAAGTAAACACAAAATGCAGTTTTTAAATGAAGGTTTTTATTATTAAGGGGGGGGAAAAAATCCAAACCTACATGGCCCTGTGTGGAAAAAGTGATTGCCCCCTAAACCTAATAACTGGTTGGGCCACCCTTAGCAGCAACAACTGCAATCAAGCGTTTGCGATAACTGGCAATGAGTCTTTTACAGCGCTGTAGAGGAATTTTGGCCCACTCATCTTTGTAGAATTGTTGTAATTCAGCCACATTGGAGGGTTTTCGAGCATGAACCGCCTTTTTAAGGTCATGCCACAGCATCTCAATCGGATTCAGGTCGGGACTTTGACTAGGTCACTCCAAAGTCTTCATTTTGTTTTTCTTAAGCCATTCAGAGGTGGACTTGCTGGTGTGTTTTGGATCATTGTCCTGCTGCAGAACCCAAGTGCGCTTCAGCTTGAGGTCACGAACAGATGGCCGGACATTCTCCTTCAGGATTTTTTGGTAGACAGCAGAATTCATGGTTCCATTTACCACAGCAAGTCTTCCAGGTCCTGAAGCAGCAAAACAGCCCCAGACCATCACACTACCACCACCATAATTTACTGTTGGTATGATGTTCCTTTTTCTGAAATGCCGTGTTACTTTTACGCCAGATGTAATGGGACATACACCTTCCAAAAAGTTCAACTTTTGTCTCGTCAGTCCACAGAGTATTTTCCCAAAAGTCTTGGGGATCAAATTGAACTTTCCAAAGATGTGATAAACCACAGTTAATTTATGTTTTAACAGGGGGGGCAATCACTTTTTCACACAGGGCCATGTAGGTTTGGATTTTTTCCCCCCTTAATAATAAAAACCTTCATTTAAAAACTGCATTTTGTGTTTACTTGTGTTATCTTTGTCTAATATTTAAATTTGTTTGATGATCTGAAACATTTAAGTGTGACAAACATGCAAAGAAATAAGAAATCAGGAAGGGGGCAAACACTTTTTCACACAACTATCTATATATATATGACTAAATACTTTTTTGCCCCACTGTATGTATGTATGTATGTATGTATGTATATCAATCAATCAATCAATCAATCAATCGGGCAAAAAAGTATTTAGTCAGCCACCAATTGTGCAAGTTCTCCCACTTAAAAAGATGAGAGATGCCTGTACTTTTCATCATAGGTACACTTCAACTATGAGAGACAGAATCAATGGCACCTGTTTGAACTCGTTATCAGTATAAAAGACACCTGTCCACAACCTCAAACAGTCACACTCCAAACTCCACTATGGCCAAGACCAAAGAGCTGTCAAAGGACACCAGAAACAAAATTGTAGACCTGCACCAGGCTGGGAAGACTGAATCTGCAATAGGTAAGCAGCTTGGTGTGAAGAAATCAACTGTGGGAGCAATTATTAGAAAATGGAAGACATACAAGACCACTGATAGTCTCCCTCGATCTGGGGCTCCACGCAAGATCTCACCCCGTGGGGTCAAAATGATCACAAGAACGGTGAACAAAAATCCCAGAACCACACGGGGGGACCTAGTGAATGACCTGCAGAGAGCTGGGACCAAAGTAACAAAGGCTACCATCAGTAACACACTACGCCGCCAGGGACTCAAATCCTGCAGTGCCAGACGTGTCCCCCTGCTTAAGCCAGTACATGTCCAGGCCCGTCTGAAGTTTGCTAGAGAGCATTTGGATGATCCAGAAGAGGATTGGGAGAATGTCATATGGTCAGATGAAACCAAAATAGAACTTTTTGGTAAAAACTCAACTCGTCGTGTTTGGAGGAGAAAGAATGCCGAGTTGCATCCAAAGAACACCATACCTACTGTGAAGCATGGGGGTGGAAACATCATGCTTTGGGGCTGTTTTTCTGCAAGGGGACCAGGACGACTGATCCGTGTAAAGGAGAGAATGAATGGGGCCATGTATCGTGAGATTTTGAGTGGAAACCTCCTTCCATCAGCAAGGGCATTGAAGATGAAACGTGGCTGGGTCTTTCAGCATGACAATGATCCCAAACACACCGCCCGGGCAACGAAGGAGTGGCTTCGTAAGAAGCATTTCAAGGTCCTGGAGTGGCCTAGCCAGTCTCCAGATCTCAACCCCATAGAAAATCTGTGGAGGGAGTTGAAAGTCCGTGTTGCCCAGCGACAGCCCCAAAACATCACTGCTCTAGAGGAGATCTGCATGGAGGAATGGGCCAAAATACCAGCAACAGTGTGTGAAAAGCTTGTGAAGACTTACAGAAATAGTTTGACCTCTGTCATTGCCAACAAAGGGTATATAACAAAGTATTGAGATGAACTTTTGTTATTGACCAAATACTTATTGTCCACCATAATTTGCAAATAAATTCTTTAAAAATCAGACAATGTGATTTTCTGGGCTACTAACCTATACATCGCACAGCAAGCACAAACATCTGTTTTTATCGTCACTGTCGGTTCTACGTTATCAGCTGCACGGCCGGCTCTGCTTAACCTCCCAAGTGCCGAGGCTCAGTTGTGTCCGAGTTTCTTCCTGATATCTGATTTAGAGGATTGTATCAGTCGGCCTGCCGGATGATATAACGGGCCCTAAGAGGATCATTGCTTTGGCTTTTCCATGGGCTGCTGCCCAAACCCCCCCCCCCCCCCGGGGGGTCTTCCTCTCCACCACGCAGCGCTGATCCTCCTTTGAGAGCGACGCTACCTCGCAAAGAGCAGAGGGGCCTTAAGGGAACGCTTCCACCATCGCACGCATTCTCAATACTTTTTTTTTTTTTTTTTTTTTTTAACGTCACAATTTTAGCATCCAGGCTTGATGATGATGATGACAGCTTCTTGGCAGTATTGAGATTTCTCATTTCCTTTGCCCAGAGCTGAAATGATGTATGAACATGTAACTTTTCTCAATTTTGACCGACATCAGTTGATTTATCAAGAAAATAATCAATATATTAATCAATATATTAATCAGTAATCACTATAATTGTAGTCCCATCTCTATATAGGCTCATGTCAATTAGATGATGATTATTTGCATTATCTCTTAATCTGCAGTTAATGTTCTTGATTAATCGATAAACCCTTTGGTCTGTAGAACATCAGATAATAGTTAAAAATCACAATTTCCTAGTTCAGAAACACTACGAGATGAATCTATTATCAAAGGAGGAGAGTTTTTATTTCCTGTTGATCAAATCAAATAATCAGCTCTTACAGACTTCTTTGCTCTTCAGAACATCATTACACAAGTAATACTCATGAATAACTAGGTTATTTTACTCTGAAACATTATCCCGATGATTATTTTTATTAATAGGATCATTTGAGCCATAATCATGGATTGCTCTCCATTCCAGATATGCACTAATCTATACAGTAGTCGGAGCATCAGTGAGGCCGAGGCTGCTCTGCTTCCCGGTGTTTCTCCAACTCCCTCTTCATCACGTCTGAGGGCGTGTGTGTCCGTTTCTCCCTCGGGTGAATCCTCACTGATGCAGTGTTGCCTTAGTGCATTTGAGCGTGTGTGTGTGTGTGTGTGTGTGTGTGCGTGTGCGTGTGCGCGTGCATGCGTGCGTGCCAGTGGCTTCCCTCGCTTTCTACATCTTGGGTTCGGTTGAGTCACCTCCTCCCCCTCCCTCTGAGTCTTCCTAGACACACTCGTATCTAAATGCCAGGTAGGAAAACACTGTGTGAGTCACACGGACAAAGCTTAACGCGGTGTCCGTGCCAAATTGTCTTTTTAAGAGACGAGATGATGCACGACGCGTATTGCTAAAGTGAAATTGTTCCCAAAAAGAAGCATGTAGCAACACGAGTCACAAAATGTCTGCCTGTTCTAATCGAGTGAGAGCAGTGCATGCAGTATTCTTGTGTGGATTTAATTATATTATCTTTTTTTCATGTCATCATCCTCTCCATGCCTCTCACTCATCTCACGTTTTTTTAAGAAGCTCCCTTTCTGAACCACCGTTCTTTCCTGCATCGTCTCCTCTCTCTTTGAACACACCTCCTAGAGGCAAAGACTTGGAAGCACTTCAGCGTGTCAGTATTTCGGTTTAGAGGACTGTACTTGCTCTCAGTGTGCTGTGTTATTGAAGAGCAGTCCGCCGGTGTGTTGACGGCAGCAGCTGCTTTTAGGAAATTCAGAAGTCTGTAGAATGATAGTTGATCGGGTTCCTTTATTCTGTGAGCTCTCGAACAAACACACACGGGGGCTGAAGAGGAGGATTTCATTGAAAATGTTTATGGAGGTGAATGTCTAGTGAAGCCAGTTCTACTTTTACGTCTACTAGCTTGGTTTACATTATATATAATCCTTATACCTTTTTATATTTATAAGTTGCGTAGTTGTATTTCTCGCTACAGTTCCAGCTGAAAGGATTAGTCGATCAACAGAAAAGCCAGAGAGCCGAACTCTGCTGCTCTTTGAACCTCTGGCTGCTGAAATCAGAAATCTTTTAAAACCATTTCTGCAAAATGCCTTTTGCGTAACTTATTTCTTTATTCTTATGTAACGTTTTATGCTGGATATTTTTTAATGCGCTTATTGACTGCATATTTGTCTTAAAAGTGCTATTTCATCAAGTATCCGTTCCATAAATGTCACAAAGATTGATGACACTACATGGGATCTCATGTTCTCCCAAATACCATTTAGATGTTTTAGGTACTGAAATGGAACCGATCACCTTCTAGCTTCAGCTCACAGCTAGTGGAAGAGCTAGCTTATTGAACACAATTGACATTTAAATTGTTTTTTTATCCTCATGAATGCAAACTTTCAGTGGTGTTTTAATAGTATAGAAGCACTCAACAAGCACTTACTGTTTGAAATGTTAGCAAGCCCTTATGGGTCATCAGTCCCTGTTCAGATTTGTGTCTGTGTGTCTGTGTGTCTGTGTGTGTGTGTGTGTGTGTGTGTGTGTGTGTGTGTGTGTAGGTGGGGAATCAGCGCGTGGAGCTCACGATGTCAGAGCTGCAGGAGATGGCCACGCGGCAGCAGCAGCAAATCGAGGCTCAGCAGCAGATGCTCGTCGCAAAGGTAAAGCCTTGTCTTCGTTATTTTATCTGAATATGAATCATCCCGCTGAACATTTATAACTGTCTTACATTCAAAATATGCTTCTTACTATTCCTACTGGGGAACATTAGAGGGCACGCCTGTCCGCAGGCAGACTATTCGTTGAAGCCCGACTAATCAAAGCGCGCCATCTTTCACATTTTGCGTCGCGTACAGAGGTGCTCGTTAAGGTGCGGGTCTGTCCGATATTATGACCGGTAAGTCTGGAACTGGGCGTTAGTTCAAGGAAAAGCAAGTTCAGTACACAGCCTGGAAACGTTCTGTTAATGAGAAGATGCACTCCTGTTGCACTACTGTGATCCAAAGAGGCCCACCATGACCTTACTGGGACAAACCGTTATGTAACAAATGAGATGGGAGGCAGAATGAGTCACTGTGCTAGGATTGTCCAGTTTGTCAGAATTCATAATTCATACCGTCTTTAGTGAAACTCATGCACAAACATCGCTGTGTTTACTCGAGCGTGTAGATTATGCATGATTTTGAAGACCAAGGACTCTACCTTTCTCACATCGGTTACAAAACGGAGCTTTCATCTTGCAGTGGGAGGAATAAGAACCTTCACACAACCAGTCTACCAGTGCACCAACTCAAGTCTGACCGCCGCGCTTGTGGTGCGCCGATCAGTCAAGACCAGTCATGCACGATGAAGCCCACTGTAGACCCGCAGATACAAAGACTTATTTATTGCCTTTGTTTTGGTGTCTCAGAATGTAGGCCCACATGAAGCCCTGCAGTCATTTGGAAACCTGGGGCTGTCATTTCCTATTTTAGGACCTGAACTGGAGCAGTTCTCAGTTGGACGGAGAGATGAAGTCATCTGACCCTGACTTCAGACAGTCTTGACACAGCACAGCATTTCATTTAGTGCAAACAGTAGAGAGATTTAGCCTAGTTTCAGGGTACGTCTGCCACGGAGATATCTTGTAAGCTTTGGGGTGGCGCCTCGCTGGTTTTAGCATTGCGACGGCTCGCTCTGTTGGATGCAGTATGACGTCATTTGTACATTATTTGATTTCCCATCGCCTATGAAACGTCCGTCTCTTGTCTGGTCCTCTGAAGGAGCAACGTTTGCGCTACCTGAAGCAGCAGGAGCGTCGTCAGCAGCAAACCGTTTCAGAGAGCGAGAAGCTGCAGAAGCTGAAGGAGCGCGTGGACAGCCAGGAGGCAAAGCTCAAGAAGATTCGGGCGATGAGAGGCCAGGTGGACTACAGCAAGGTCATCAACGGCAACCTGTGTATGTATACTTTCACTATGTACATCATTTACTAACCCATGCAGTTGTATATTTAAATCTAGTCACATCTAGAGCTAGGAAGAAAGATTGAGCTAATTTGCTAATTTGAAAGACACATAGGCTACAAATGATGTGGTTTCTTTATTCCTCTCATCCAGCGGCAGAGATTGAGCAAGTCAGCGGCCTGTTCCAGGAGAAGCAGGTCGAGTTACAGTCAGCAGTGCTGAGGGTTGAGCAGCTCAGCCTGCAGCTGGAGGACCTGCGGAGGGGAAAGCTCAACGGCATACAGACCGCCCTGGGGGGCCAAGTATCCGGCACTGCTGCCCTGGAGCTCCGTAAACTCTACCAGGAGCTGCAGGTAGAAATGAGTGCTTTTTTTTAATGTTCGACTGTGTTTGCTTTACCTCTGGCGACGGTGACGGCGGTATCTATTGTCTTAGTGAATCTATACGTGTGTTTGCGTCTGCTTTTATCGCCCGCAGATCCGGAACAAGCTGAATCAGGAGCAAAACAGCAAGCTGAAGCAACAAAAGGATCTTCTCAACAAACGCAACATGGAGGTGACGCTCATGGACAAGCGCATCAGCGAGCTGCGGGAACGCCTCTACAAGAAAAAAGCTGAGGCACGTCAAAAAGAAAACCTTCCTGTAAGACTAAGAGCGCTCAACACTTCTCCTCATTCAGACTCTTTTTGGTGGAAATGCTTCTGACAAAAGCCCCTCTATGAGGAAAACTATTTACTTTAAGACATCATTTCTACTGACTCGTGTCATATATTCTATACATCTCCTTCACATCTTGATGGTTTCTCCAGTCAAGACTCCTGATAGTTGAATCTTTTCTGACTCTTATAGCTCAACAGAGCCAACGGGCCTCCCTCTCCCCAGCCAGCTGCTGGTACTCTGGGCCGTGTTGCTGCTGTTGGGCCCTACATCCAGGTTCCTGTACCGGGTCGACCGGAAGGAGGCTACACCATACCCGCTGATCCCCTGAAGCCTCAGACTCTTGGTGTTAATAACCAGGACAACCACGGCTGCACCAAGTCAGGTTGGTTGAAACCCATAAAGTTACAATTGCAGTGCAGAATGCATTTCACTTTAAAACACAACTGTAGCAGTGGAAACCAGGTGATATATATAATGTGTAGTTTTAATTGAAGATTTGAGTTTCTTGTATTTTTTTTCCTCTCATTAAGAAAGCAGGAACATGGTCATGGCCAGTTAGAGGAAGCAGAAGAGAGGATAGTGTCTGGATTCAGTTACAGAGTAGATTGGATACATGTAGTCCCAGAAGCTTTACTACACATTTAACACATCTTGCATGTCTGAAATTCCTTAACTGTTAGTTTTCTTCCTACCTGACTTCTCTGTTAATTCTCTGCCTGCACTTGATTTCCATTTTTCCTTCCTCTCCAACCTCTCTCTCTACCTGTGTTGTGTGTACTGTGGTTCCCTTTCCTCTCCTCTCCTCCTCTCTCATGTGTCGGTGCTATCCTTTTTTCTTTGTGCTCTCTTTCTGTCTCACTGGGTGCGGGGTGGTGGGGGGGGGGGGCAACTCTTCCTGGGGCAGACGGTGTGCGCAAGCCTCCCAGCCCTTGGAAGGTGTCTGATTTAGACATCGTTGTGGACCCGGTACCCCCGGCCCTTCCAGAATCACACCCGGGCACCGGAGCCTCCACTGGCTCTGACGGCACGTCCCGTGAGTGCACAGCGCTGCATTAACAAGGGATGGCACCTACTGAAACTTCTCTCTCGTGCACTGACTAATATCATAGTCGGTTTGATTGGCGACGAATTCAAAATGATCAAAACAAACTCACTGTAAAGGTAATGGAGCAGATTTTCTCCACCAGCGTACATGCACAGCTGGGGAATCTGAGGAGGAGACGAGCATCTGTGCCTGCTTAACATGAACAATGGCCAACAGATGGAAGCATCGTTGTTTGGCATCCTTAAGCTCTCCTGCCGGTGCAGCGTTGAGCCAGTTCTTTCTCCTCTAAACTGGCGAGAGCAAATGTTGACTTTTCATTCGGAGTGTTTCCTCTGTTGATTGGCGAATGACGTCAGAGTCGTGCGGGGTGCCATCTTGAAACACTTTGCTGCCATCTGCAGAAATGTGAAAATCTCCTAATCGTAGCTGACATACAGCCTCGTATGAGGAAAGTGTCACTGACGAAGCACCGCCGATCCCCGTCTGCGTTGGTGCACCTCGGAGAAGGTTCAATGAGTCAAGTGCCTCGTAAAAATATACACGCACAAGATATTCTAACTTTATAACATCCCCCAGACTGCCTAACCTCAACCATCGCTCCACATTCACACGACAACCGAGCTGTGGGAATCACTTTAGTTGGCAAACACTTAACATGCACAAGGAAGTGAACTTGTGCATGTTAAAATGTCACCGGATTGACTCCAACTGAGACCCAGTTCAAGCTGTTTCCTTTTAGACTCCCGTAGTGTCGGTAGAACTGCTTCATAATTACTGTAATTAATCTAAGAAAAGATTGGAAGCTGCTTCTTAAACAGATTTCCCAATCGGTCCCATTAATGTAGATCTACTTTATCGTTTGTTTATTTAAAGTACCCTTCGGTACTAAAAAGAATATTGGAAATCTGAAAACCCATAATTGACTTTTGAGACTTTTTTTGGGGTCTGGAAAAAGTTGGTTATTGTTGTTTTGTTGCTTCTTCTTTTTCTATCTTCTTTCTTTTCAACCTATACTTGCATCCGTTTTATCCTTCACATGTATTTTTTTTTTCCAAGTAATCACTTTTTGTCTTGGAGACAAACAGTCCTTGAATCTTCTACTAAATCGCAATTTAGTTGCAAAATACAAGTACGCAGTAGCACAACACTAATGCAGATCCATTCATCGCCATCATTGCTGTGAAGTGAAGGCTCAGGATTTTTATCCTATTGATCAACAGGTCCTCTTGCAACATGTAGTGTGTGCTGTTTTTGATAAATGTAACTTTAAGAAGAAAGTAGGACAACTTGCAAATCCTTTGTGCAAGAATACAGACACTTTGTAAACATTTCAAAAAAGACGAACAGCTGACCATAAACAGTTTCGCCCGAAAAGTCACCTCATAGAAGCTTTCTGTGTGTGTGTGTTACCAGTGTTACAAGTAAATGGTACATCAAACTTTTCCCTTTATGTCAGAGCAATTGGCAACAATCAGTGTGTCTAAATGTCTCTTAATGGTGTCTGGTTAATAGGATAGGCTTTTCAAAATCCTGAACCCTCCATTCAATACCAGTCCTAGGTCAAAATGGTACAGATATGTGTTCTTGAAATACTCAAATTCCACTTTATGTGGTTAATCGCACAAAGTCACATATTTCAAACGTCACCATTTAGACCTACCTCTGGTGGATATGCTTTCTCACTACCCGGAGTCGTTTCTCATACCACCTCAATCACTCGTTGCTCTTTTGCGACACACTTACTGTGTCTTGTTTGTTCCCCAGCCAATGATACAGGTTGGCCTACTTTAGGCAAGACCAACACATCTCTAAAGCCTCCTGAGAGACGAGACTCTGGGGCCGATACCCAGGGCAAGAGCCCTCCCTCAGGCTCCCCCGTCGCGCCGAGTGCAGAAAAGGTTTGTCCTCTCTCTTCTTCTCCGTCCAGTGTTCTGTAGCTGTTAATCACGTCTATAAGAAAAATGTTGTATGTGAGATTGTGCTAGAGATGAACCGTCATTAGTTCTAATATCTCTGCAAGAAATCATTTTTTCTCCATTGCTTCTTCCCAGGTGCTAGACTCCAAAATGGCTGTGTCCTCCCCTGCCATATCCAAGCCACAGCCTCCTCCCTATGGCTCCCACCTCATCCATGCAACCTCGGCCAGCTCCTTGGAGCGGCGCAAGGACGCGCCTCCTCCTCCTCCTCCTCCTCCTCGCCCGCTCCCGAACCCACCGGCTCCTGCTTGGCCCCGCGTCCCCCCCTCCACAGGCTCGTCCTCCCAGCAGATCCAGCAGCGGATCTCGGTGCCGCCAAGTCCCACCTTCCAGCCCAATGCGCCGCTGTTCCCTCCCGGGCTGAGCGAGCGACTGGACCCCCCGCCCGCTGTGGCAGTACGCCCCTTCATCCCAGACAGAGGGTCGCGGCCTCAGTCGCCCCGAAAGGGCCCCCCCACCATGAACTCCAGCTCCATCTATCACATGTACCTCCAGCAGGCAGCGCCAAAGAGCCAGCCACTCAAGCCTGCTCTCAAAGCAGGTAAGAGCTGGGTTTGGAGAGATGTTGTGTCTCGTTCAATATTGCTGCTACTTGCTAGATCCAGTTTTGTCAATTCAAGCCTGATGTTGCCTTACACATAAAATAATAATTCCAGTCTCTTCCACGCAGTGAGGCAATCAGCTACTTCACTAAAAACTGGTCTTAGATCAGTATCTGTATCTGTATCGGGACTGAAAAAGCCGAATCGGTGCATCCCTAGTAAAATGACCTCAAAGTAGCTGTTAGTCAGATCGGTAGTCTAAAATGTATTTTATGTAAATGTTTGACATCTAACCCAATCTATACATCGGCAGGTGAATCAATAATGATGATAATCCCACTCTCTCTGTTTGTCTCTAGTTTATGGGAAGCCTGTCCTCCCCCCCAGCTCGACTCCCCCCTCGCCTCTCCCTTTCGTCCAGGCCGGAGGGGCCTTCCCGTTGCTCCAAGGCCACCCGGGGGTTGAGGACGCTTTGGACGGAGAATTTGACGATCACGATTTCTTCCAGCACCACCCGGAGCCCTTAGCGCCTCCTCCCAGTGTGGAGAACATCCCCCGACCACTCAGCCCCACTAAGCTCACGCCCATGGTGCACTCCCCGCTGCGCTACCAAAGTGACGCCGATCTCGAGGTGCTCCGCAAAAAGCTGGCCAACGCTCCGAGACCGCTCAAGAAGCGCAGCTCCATCACAGAACCGGAGGGCCCCAGCGGACCCAACATCCAGAAACTGCTCTACCAGAGATTCAACACTCTAGCGGGAGGCATAGAGGGAAATGGAGTCGGTGGATCAGGAGGTGGCACCGGTGCGGGTAACGGAATGCCATTTTATCAGCCAGCTAATCCTCCCGCATATCTGGGAGGCGACTCAGACAACGGTAACCTCCCCTCTGAGCCACCGCCACCAGGGGCGCAGGAACCGGGCACCGAGGCTCCGCCTCCATCTACGAACGACAACGAGCCGCTGCCCTCGCCACCAGAGCTGGATCCTGCCGACGCAGAGGACGACAACAATAACAACACGGGAGGCTCTGAGGCGTCGCTGCCCAGCCCCGTGCCGGAGGTGACCACTCCAGAGGAGAGCGGCACAGGGGTCTCGCAGCTCCTGGTGAGAGATACGCCTACATAACAGTATTTAAGGAGAGATTTCAAATAAACAAACTAACGTCTCCTTTCTGTTCACAGGACAAGCGCACAAACCTGAAGAAGCCAAACTCTGAGCGCACCGGCCACGGCTTCAGGGTGAAGTTCAACCCTCTGGCCCTCCTGCTGGACGCCTCGTTGGAGGGAGAGTTTGACCTCGTCCAGAGGATCATCTATGAGGTATGTCACGACTGTGTGAGTATACTTTTGATTTCTTTGCAATTGCACGCATTTGGGGACAAGCTCTCATCTTTTCATCTGGGTCTTTCTTTCTTTTTTTTCCTCAGGTGGAAAATCCAAGCACTGCCAATGACGAGGGCATCACACCCCTGCACAACGCAGTGTGTGCGGGACACCACCACATAGTCAAGTTCCTGCTGGATTTTGGTGTGAACGTCAACGCTGCAGACAGTGATGGATGGTGAGTGATGACTAAAGAAATGTAGTTCAGGTTGATTTGTCTGTTGCATCTCTTTCCATTTATATATACATTATGTTTATTTTCCCGTTTGTGCGAACAGGACTCCGCTCCACTGCGCCGCCTCCTGCAACAGCGTTCATCTCTGCAAGGTGTTAGTGGAGTCTGGGGCGGCCATCTTTGCCAGCACCATCAGTGATGTGGAGACTGCTGCGGATAAATGCGAGGAAATGGAGGAGGGTTACATCCAGTGCTCCCAGTTTCTATACGGTGAGAAACAAGCCATCAACACGTAGCAAATGAGCCCCGGTACTGTAATGCATCTCAGTGTTGGTTAGAAAAAGTGTTTTGGTTTTAACATTTTAAGATGCGTTTGTCTGTAAAGATACTGGTTTGATATTGACAGCCTGTTTTTGGACACTCTACTGCAGGTGTTCAAGAGAAGATGGGTGTAATGAACAAGGGGACAGTGTACGCTCTGTGGGATTACAAATGTCAGAACCAGGACGAGCTGGCGTTCGGCGAGGGGGACGCCATCACCATTCTGCGACGACAGGACGACAGTGAAACGGAGTGGTGGTGGGCGCAGCTTGAGGACAACGAGGGCTACGTGCCCCGCAACCTGCTGGGGGTAAACAACAACATATATTAACTTTCACATTTGTTTATCCTTATTATTGACTGAAGAGCTGAAGTCATTGGTGGTTTATTCGACGGGCAGAAAACTAATTGCCAACTATTTTGATATATTTGATAATTGGTTATTTGAGTTTCATATGCTTAGATGTCATTGGTTGTTGTTGCTATTCTCTTTAATTAAAAAAAGGATTCTGACAAATTATTCGAGTCATGGGTACCCAGAGAGAGAGAGAGAGAGAGGGGCGGGGTCAGTGAAAAAGTACAAACCAGCAAACGTCACGTTAACATATCTCCTGTTTCCGTTTGTGTTCTTTGCAGCTCTATCCTCGGATCAAGCCTCGTCAGCGCTCCCTGGCATAGTGTCACTCCACTGACCATCAGCTGAACTAGGAACAAAACCAAGAGCAGAGAACAATAGGGTCTGGTGCTCTGTCTTCTCCCTGTGGCCATAACCCCCACTCCCCCTTGTGCTTCTCACAAAATCCTTTCTTTTTCTCTGAAGCAATGGGCACCAAAGTCTTGACACACATATTTACAGAAGCACACACTTACACAAGCACTCCGAAGGCTCTTAAACCACTCCATCCTGATCCCGCTCTCTCTCTCTCTCTCTCTCCTCCCACCTTTCAACCTATTGCTCCGTCATCGTCCCGACATGATTCACCCCGGTTCAGTGTCCGCTCTGTATCCGACATCGACTCGAAGAATAAAACACTAACCCGCGTCTCAGTATTTCTTGCAGTGTTCACACTTCTTCCGCCGTGAGTTCTGTGGTGGCACTGGTTGCATGACACTAAACGGGGACTGGAACGATCAGCCCTCATGGTGAGGAGACGACGCTGATTGTTGTTGTTGGTGAAATTGACTTTGAATTTGATCCCCTTGCACGAAAAACAAACTAACTAACACAGAAAAATGTGCTCTGTTTGATTTCGCTGTCTAACCACCAAAGATGAATATAGATTTTAACAATTACCCTCCAATCAGTAGTTCACAGCTCCTTCTAGATGTCGTCATGATTTAGAAAGGAAGAAGGAAAATGTTGTTGAGTATTAACTACACGGGCCAGTCCGAACAAATCAAACGTATTCAAGCAAAGATGAATATAGATTGTCATGAACATCATTTTTCATTCAGTGTCATCTGTTCAGAACCTGGATGCAGGGTAATCCAGCTTTTCTGTTTTATGGGATTTCAAGATCTATTAAGTTGTGTGAAAAATACTGAGTCTGGATGTTTGGTAATCTGAACGAATGCTGTAGTTTCCGAAAGATACTGTGATGGAAATAATCAACAAACAGTATTTTGCTTTACCAAAAAAAGGTTAATTGAGAAGCTGTGACTGCATAACATCTGGAGAGTGTGTCTAAAACGGTACAAATGTCAAATATATCTTAATTTGGGTATTTAGGGATTGGGAAAAACAAGTTGTTTTATAGTTTTAAATTCCACAGTGGTGAGGCTCCACAGCGACAGAAAGATGCTCGTTCTTGATGGTGTTATTGGGACATTCTTGCTAATTTCAAGTCCTTTGCAGTCTGTATCATGTTTTCAAACATTTGCATTAAGTTGGTCCTCACTTCAAAGATTCATTCATTCATTTTTTTCTGACTTCTGGCACCTGATTAGATTTCACCTTTAACTTGACAACATGGCAAGAAGATCATGAATTGCAAATAATGAATGAAGTCCAGACACTGTGCCTCAAAACCACTGAAATCATCACCCAAACCATAATACAAACTGTTTACCACATTAGAAGTTCACACTCGATATCAATAACCTAGTTATTTTCTTCTACCAGCTGCTGAGCATGTCTCTGGTCATCTAATGCTGCAGGTATTTTTCTGTGGCTGTGACAAAACCCCACTTGAAACACTTAATCTCAGGACCACCATGGTGCTGCTGACACTGTTCCACCACTAAACTAGTGATCATATTTCTATTTGTATCTCTGCAAACATCACCTTCATTTGAGCGCCGTACCGAACAAAAACACAGTACAAAATTGGAAAATCTCTCTCGGCGATGGACAAAAATGATTGATAGATGAAGAGAAGGTTATTATGTCTGAAATGTAAATCTGTCAGACCTGATAACCTTCTCCTAGTTCTGTTCCTCCAGCTGCCCCTCTTTCAGGTATTCACCATTCCAGTAACACTCATACATGTGTTATACGTCACATCATTGAACATCTAGAGTCCATCAACTTGTTCTGAGCCTTGAGTGTTATGCCAAGTGTGCTAGTGGCCCAGGCTCTACATGGCTTAATCTGTACATAGTGTGAGGAGACGTGCTATATGTTTGCTGTATGGACAAGTGGGCTTTCTGTATGAACGCTGTACTCACAGATTGAATTATGTAAATGTGAAGAATAAAACAGAAGCTCTGGCATGACTGATGTCTTTCAGTGTTGCATCAGCAAAACAATGTTACATTTTAGGAATTGTGAAAATATTGTGAATGTTTCTTTTTCTATAATAACACGGCCATGAATGATTTACTGAGAAGCAGCTGTGTCTTAAGACATTTTACTTGTAAAAATGGAGAAACTGGTGAGAGGATTACCAACAAAGAGACTCACATAGAGGCTGTAGTGGGCCTACTGTATCTAGTGGTCTAATGTCACCAAACAGACTGATATAGAGAAAGGATCTATTCCCTCAAAAGGTAAAGTAAGTCAACCAAAGTCAATGGGGAATTCAAAGATATTTTAGTTGTTTTTAAATCAGATGGAATATATACAGTGTAACATACCATTTTAATACAACAAACAAAGGCATTGTTTTTGTAAATGTACACTTCATGAATTCGATAGTAAAATCTTCAATCTTTATTAAAATTAGATAACCTTGAACGTTAGTATTGTGAATTGTGAGTTTATTGCTGGTGTGTCTGCATTTGGGTCTAACTACAGTCCGTGACAGAATGCATGCCATGACTGTTCTTATGGCCTTTTTGTTGGTACAGCCGTTTTTAAATACAGTTCAAACTCTTTGTAAAAAAACAAAAAAATAGGTGTTTGGCTTGTAAACTTACACTTGTGTGTATAGAATTTGGCAAGAATAAACAGCTCAAGCACACCGTGAATCAATTTACGACTCAAATTATGGAGTTTACCTTTGGGCCACCAGATGGCACCAAATTATAGTACATGAAGTAATAACTGACGCCAATCAGATGGTAAAATGTGACCCTCGCCAAGGTAAATACATGGCCTGCTGTCTTTTGTACCGTGGTGATGTGGTGCCCAAAGATCTTAATGCTGCCACTGGCACCATTAAGACCAAGCGCACCATCCAGTTTGTGGACTGGTGCTCCACTGGTTTCAAGGTTGGCATACCAGCCGCCCACTGTGGTTACTGGTGGAGACCTGGCCATGGTCCAGAGGGCCGTGTGCATGCTGAGCAGCACCACTGCTACAGCAGAGGCCTGGGTTCGGCTTGATCACAAGGTTGATCCGATGTACGCAAAGCGTGCTTTTGGTCACTGGTATGGAGGTGAGGGTACGGAGGAGGGAGGTTTCCATGAACATATATAGTACTCAGCATTTACATTTTACTTATTACTCATTTTACTTGAAATAAGTGTTATGATTTTGTAGTTTAAAAACTAAAGTATGTTTTGTTTTTACAATCTTTGGGTTGATTATAGTCATGATTACATTTGATTATCAATAGACAAGAATAGTACATTTGTAATAGAAAAAGATGATCTGCTCTACAGCCAAACAAATCTATTTTATTATCATATAACGCAAAGAAAAACTGAAAGTCTGCACAAATGACAAGGCAATAAACTGACAAAGACAAACCATCACCAATCAAATATTTACAATTGGAAATCATTCAGTTATCTTTTGTCACGTGTCTTTTAAATGCAACTGGTTATTTCTAAAGGTTCGCGAGAGGAGCGTCGCTAAACATCCTACACTACAATATCCATGAAGCACTGGGAACAAAAGGATTACGCATGCGCATTGGCTGCTCGAGTACAAACGATGACATCACGAGCAGCTCGGACCAACCAGTCTTGTTGAATTATCTCCGTGTCTGGACGCTTGTGTGTGTGTTTTCCCCTGCGGCTTCACTTTGCTGCTAACCTGATGAACTTGTGGACACGGTTGACGAGAAAGATGTTCAACGCGACGAGGTAAGCACGACGTCGGTAGGACAAAAACTCTGAAGCTTGCATCCCCACGGCGGAAACAATAGCCGAGTTAATACCGTTGTTGTTGGTGGTGGTGGCGGTGACCTCCGTACCGGTGCAGCCAGTCCACACGACAGCCGTCGTTAACGTGGGCTGTGGCGAGTTTACGGAAGTATACCCGGGTCTAACTTAGACTGGAGTCACCAGAGAAGAGTCGGGTGACATTTGCATCCCGTTTGCAAACTGTTTGGGTTTTGTCTGCACTTCCAGCGGCTTCCACTCCAGCTAAAAAAAAAAACCCCGAAATGAAGCTTTCCAGAAACGACTATATCCACACTGTGGTGCAGGGACCTCCAGGGTCCTTCAGAGGATCCTCCTGGTCCCCCACCAAAGAGAGGGACAGTTGAAGTCGTTCACTTGTGGATCCCTGTGATCATTAACGCCTCATATATTTATGTAACTTAAGGAGATCAGATCTTTTTTAAATCTTTTCTTACTTCTTAATACTGAGATATTAGCTGCAGAAGAGTGTTGTTGGCGTATCCTATATGAATGGATGTGAGGTTGATGGGGTTAATGTTGGCACGATAGGCAATGAATAAAGCTGAGAATAATAACTAAATAGTAACTATTACTAGTTTTTATGATACCAAGATGTTGGGCATTTTACAGTTATACAATGGACTTAATAGTGGTTTCGAGGGGATAAACTATGCAACTTTGGTATTGCTGTTTTGCAATTTGTTATTATAAAATACATACGGCAATATTGACATGACTGCAATAAGATAGCATTGTAATATATGTGCCAGGGCAGCTTTATCAGTGAGTCTGTAATCTGCAGGCACACAGGTCCACAAAGGCTTGATAAATTGCCTTTTAACGATTTTTTTTTTGCGTGGATTATGTTTTTGAGCTATGAATCGTGTTTATATTGAAATTCCAGGGTTGGTCATCTCTTGACATGTACTATTGTCACCCGGGATCATCATAAAGTCAGTTCCCATACAGTTGCTTGGCCCTCATAAAGGCACATTACCCTGGATGAAAGGACCGGCCTCTGGGGGGCTTCAGACATACGATACTTCACCTGTTCCCAGTTAATATTCACTTTTATCGCTCTGCTGAGAAGCGGAATGACTCAACTCGGGGAAAGCCACAAAGTTTCAGGTCAGTCACAAAAGCACAACACGGAGATTATCAGAGCGCAATCACGCTAGCTTATTCTCAATTAGACGCTTATCAGAAAAGTCTTGCATTCCCGAGAATTAAAAGGCTCTAAATCATCATCGGGGGGGCATGTACGTGCTTGTAATGGGCCGCTGCCTTGTGAGAGGGCTTACCGCTGCGGTGTGATCCGCAGACGTGTTTTCACTGTAAACATGGGAGAAACCTTACATGATGTACCGTGCTATTATTTTGTCCACAGTGGTAATGCTCAGACGGGGAGTTGGCTGGCCCTGACATTTTTTGATGGCACGTCTTGTTGACTGATGACTAGGCTTTGCTGGAACTGCATCACAGATATTGGTGCTGGTATTAGTTGACGTTGGCTTGCTAAACCAGTCACCTTTTAACAATCACAAGCACATTAAATGACACATTGCACGGGTTGTTTCCTCTGCACCGGCACAGCCTTTGGCTACAGCAACTCGCACCGACCTTGTTTCTTTGGCACCGGTTGTTTTGTTGATGTTTCAGGTCTTCGCCCTGTTGTCACAGACAACGACAGTTACTGTGCTGCTGACAGAAACAAGAGTTTGATAAAAACTGTCCTTGGGGGGGGGGGGGGGGGGGGGGGGACAGACTGCAGCATTGTAAAAGAGGAGAAACGGAGCTGACGGGCGGTCAATTGCATCTGTTGTGATGTGAGCTGCTCTGAACTGACAGCAGGCTGAGCTTTAATTGTGTTTAAGACTTTTCAAACACTCTTGTCCACCATTTTTCCACCATCCGCTGACATCAGAATATATCAGGGAAAGAGTAAAAGACAGCACCACAGGGGGGGGAAGGATGTATAGACTAATTATTCTTTCAACGGCGGATGTCATTAAGGCGTGACTGTAAAACAGCTGAGCCCCTAAGACCACCATATGTCAGCATGGTTTCTGTATGTCGATGATGCGTTGAGCCTCAGAGGGAATACTGAAAAGGTACTTCCTTATTTAAGATGTTGTGTCAGCGTTCTTTTTAGTGTCCCGATGATGTTTCTGTAAACCACGCACCGTGGAAACCTGTTTTTTGTGTGGCAATGTTAGTAAACAAAGCATGATTTTTTTTTTTTTTTACATAAATGTAAAATAAAGATGATGTACCTTATTTCTCAGGTATTTAAGTGCCAAAAACATTCCTCTGTGGATGTTTTTGTCCACAGTTCCTCAAAAGCTCCTGCAGAAATGTCCCTATATCTAGATATATATTGACTGCAGCAGAGGATTTCATCGCCACATTAGGGCTCCATCTGACAATTAATCTGCTGATTATTGTTCTCCATCAATTGTTTGGTTTTCAGACTATCTTGTGTGTTTTGTTGTTTTGCTTTAGATCCAGAATTGTCCGTTTCAGCAGCAAATGTATCAGAACTAGAAGCCATTTCCCCGTCGGACTAGTCCAGTGATGTTTACCTCGCTGAAGTGATCTCAAACTGTTTTTGGGGGAACAGTTCCTCCGGGTCGGTGTTGTGTCAGAGCTTCATGTCCTCAGATCTCTCTCTCTCTCTCTCTCTCTCTCTCTCTCTCTCTCTCTCTCTCTGCACCATGTGTCGCTCCGCTGGCCCGCCACAACAATAGGCCCGTACGACTGTTTGAATGTGCCATTCTTTGTGCGGTGTGCTTCACTTGGGCCAGACAATAGCTTCATTTAGCATCCCTTCTCTATCGAGGCCCTGCTCTGTCACCATGCCACACCCTGCCCCCCCTCCCCCCCAGCCTGGCCTGGCTTTGGGGACAGCTGGGCGCTTCGACAGACTTTTTTTTTTTTTTTTTTTTTGGGGGGGGGGGGGGGGGGGGGCGACACCCAACCCCCAACCTCACATTGTGAGGATTGCTGCTTTGTGGCCGAGCTGGACCACCTCTCAGCTTTGCTGTTTTGTAAAAAGTTGACTGAGTGTTTAAAATCCAGAGAGTCTGGGGTTTCCTGCAGTGTTTTAAATTCATTTTAATACACTTTAAAAAAAATAAGACATCAACCTTTCACGGGAAAGAACAGAGTTGCTGTTTCACAAAGGGAAAGTTATTTCCTTCTACACA